CATCTACCCGGCGCCCTGCCCGGTGCCCTACCCGACGCCCTTCCTGACGCCCCACCCGTCGCCCAACCTGACGCCCTACCCGACGTTTTTGGGGGATGCCAGCCCATCCTCCTGAATCGGCTGTCCACGACGACCAGCAACTCCAGGATAGGGATCCGACGGCCACCACCTGGATCCCACTGTGTGGCGGCATCCTCGTTTCGGAATCTTGGCTCGCTGGCTTTGCATGTCGTTTAGACCGTTACGAGTGACCAGCACTGTGTGGCGGTATCCTTCCTTCTGGCCAGACTGACGCACCCATCCCGTCGCAGGACCCCGACATCCAGTAGAGGACGAGTACATGCACACCGTGACGAGTACCAGCATCACTGCAGCCGCACAGTCAGACAGCCATCGCCGCCTCAGCAGCAGGAGGACGACCAGGGCACTCAATCGGGTGTCCCGGGCCTGGTGGGGTGCCTGCTGGCTCTGTGGTGTTCCGGGTGGGAGTGGGGGGGCCGTCTTTCTGTTTCCTGCAGGCTTCCTTGCCCTCAGGACCATACTCCGCTCAGGAATCTTTCACTTCGGATTCGGGCGCTCCCACGTCGACCAGTACCAGCGGCTCAACATCACCAGGCGGCACGGCCACGACGCCCAGCAGCTGCGGGGCTACACTGGCCACCAGGTGTTCGACGAGTGGCTCCGGTGCCAGCGCCACGACGACGCTTGGCGACACGACCTCGAAGGCCAGATCAAGGGTTACGACGGCCACCACGATTTCGGCGACTGGCTCCAGTACCATCGGCACGCTGACGCTGAACGCTATGATCCTCAAGGCCGACTCCTGCGTGATTTCCTGAGGATTCCGCGTCTTTTCGCGTCGGTCGGCGCTGCTGCTTTTTAGCGTGTCCTCGCCTCGCGCGTTGCCCTTTTCCTTTCCCCCCTCTGCCTCCTCGATTGGCGCCGGGGGCGCCCAGTGCATTCAGGGGCTGCGGGTGGGCCGTTGGCCGCCCGGTCCTGCGAGCCGCTCCCGTAGGGGGCCGCTCCTGGCCCGCACCGGCGCTGGCGCCTGCGTGTCTCCTGGCGGCCATGCCGCGCCCGCACAGCTTAGTTATGTTGTCTCCTAGTTTCTGGTGTGCGTTGCTCGCCCAGTTTCCTCGCGCCTTCAGTTGGCGCTCCGCTCTTACAGGTCCTCAGTTGCATATCGTACTGTGCAGTGCAATTCGTTGGCGTGCAGGCCTGCGTGGCGACTCACGGAGCTCCGCATTGTGCCTCAGCTTGGTCCCCATTTTGTGGGCGTTGTGTTTTCCTCCTCCTTCCTCCCCCTCTTCCCCCCTCCCGCGTCCTATATCATGACGTGCTGGTTTTTGTGAATTGGCTGGTTGGGCCATTCTGTATCTTCCAGCTCGCTCATGTGGAACGTATCAACGGCTGTCTAGGCCTCGGGGGGCACAGGCACATGGCACACCCCGTTCCTCAGTTTTGTTAACTTTCTCATGGTGTGAGTGTCCAGCTGGTGGGGCTGGGATGCTGTATAATACTTCGCAGTGGCTGTAAGTGAGGAATAAACGCCTCTCAAATGCAACCGCCGTTTTTTCCGCCTGTGCTTGAGAGGAAAAAACAACTAACGACACGGCCCAAACCATTCCACTCCACGACCGTTGTAGCCCCATCACCATCCTGGATATGGGAGCGATCGACGACAGCGGAGAGACACGACGCTACTGTGACATACCATGACGACATTCACGGCGACGACTACAGTCGAAACCGATGAGAAGGACGTGCCTCTTTGGTCCATCCTTGACTACTTTCGATGGCCCGCCGCTCTCGCAAAAGCTTCAACATGGGCGTCCGAGGGGCTTGCATCCTCATCGCGCATCCTCATCGGCAACCGCCACGCGGAGAACACCGCCCCACCCCACCACGAACTGCCACCCCACCGTCCATAGCCGAAGCCTACAGGGCCCAGGCTCGCGAGCCTGACTGTTTCAGACGCTGCGCGGGGCTACAACTGCTCGGGGCCCGCCCCGCCGTTCCTCGCCGCCATGGGGGCGTCGGTCACTCGCCAGCCCCACCTCCCTCGGTGCAGCGCGCAGGCCCGCGGCGCGCGCCAACCTCCCCGATGTGCCACTCTGTTATACGTTATCCTTTCCATGTCATGTGGGCAGGGGGACGGACGTCGCGCCTCGCCAGCCTCGCGACGGACGCTCCGCCCATGCGCGTCTGATTATTCAACTTTTGAATTACAGCGCGCTCTCGGACTTGACGCGGGTTACAGGCAGACGGGGTCGCGCGTATCTTCTTTCAGGAAACTTGGCTATCGCAGTTCACTTATCTTACTTTGTGGGTTTGTGGGCGTTCTTCGACAGCGGCTGTTTTCTTGAGTCAAGAATCTTGGCGGGTATTTCCAAACACGGGTGGGCATTTCCAACCTGGCATTTTTTATGCGAGCGAGTCCCAACTTGCCTGCCAATTCCAGCGCACGGGTGGCGGCGTCAAGTGTCAGGCAACTAAAGAAGCAAACACATCGCTGGTTCAGTGCTCAGAGTCAGCCAAGTCAATGAGGGCCGCCCATCATTCCAAACAGTATGGTGTATAGTTCCAACCATGCGTGGTCACGTCCACCTGCGTCAATGGTGTATCTCCCGTCTCAGCTTGGATGGATAGTTTCAGCGCAAGAAGTGCGACGCCGCCAAGTGGCCGCCGTCACTCACATATGTGTTCCAAGTATTGGTTCACTGATCGGAAGATGACCAAATCAACGAGGGCCTCACAACGTTCCAAAACATTTGGTTCCTTCAATTGGTGGGGACTTCCAACGCAGGTGACACAGCTTGGTGGACTGGAGCGAAAAGACCAGTCACCGCCAACAGTTTGAGCGTCTTCTAGGACACATTTCGCTGCATTACATCCCGCAGGCCTTTTTGCCGCCCAAGCGTCTCTCGCCCAATTGTCTTGCCCGCCGTTCTGTCCACGAGTTTTCCCCCCTGCCTGTCTCACCCAGTCGAACTCGTAGCCTTCGCCGCCCGCCGCGACGCCGCCCCGCCACGAGAGAGGGGCGCGGATCGGGCGTGGAGGGCGGGGAACGGCTTGCACAGACGGCTCGCCCCGACCTCGGGTCTACCTCCCACCCGCGCACGCCGGGGCGAGGGCGGGGGCAAGGGCGACCGCGAGCCACGCTCGTCTTCACCCTTTCGCCGCGCTCGCAGTCTGCACCGCTTCCGCTTCGGCCCCCGAACTTTTCCAGCCGCCGCGCCGCCGCAGCCGCGCCCATCCGTCTCCTGCGCATCCCCGCCTCCAGCGTCCACGCCGCCGCGCTGTCGCGACCATGGGTGGGGACGGGGGGGGGGGGGGCGGCCGGAGCGGGAGCGGGAGCAGGAGTAGGAGGAGGAGGAGGGGGAGGAGGAGGAGGAGGCGGAGGAGGAGGAGGAGGAGGGCGCGCGAGGCGCCATGTCGGCGCCGGCGCCAGCCGTTCCCGGCGTTGGCCAGGGGCGGCCGCTGACCAGTTGGCACTCCTCCTCCATGCTTTTCATCCTTGGCGCTTCCTGCAGTTAGCTCGCGAGCACCTGCTCTTGCTTCCACCCCCACCCAGCGGCGCAGGCCGCCAGGGGGGGGGGACGGCAGCGTCGTCGATCAGCTCCCATGCTCGCAGCCACGACAACGAGGAAAGAGGGAGGAGGAGAAGGAGGAGGAGGAGAAGGAGGAGGACGTTGGAAACTGATGATGATGGTGATGATGATGTTGATGATGATGATGATGATGATGATGATGATGATGATGATGATTCTGATGATGATGATGATGATGATGATGATGATGATGATGATGATGATGATGATGATGATGATGATGATGATGATGATGATGATGATGATGATGATGATGATGATGATGATGATGATGATGATGATGATGATGATGATGATGATGATGATGATGATGATGATGATGATGATGATGATGATGATGATGATGATGATGATGATGATGATTATGATGATGAGGAGGAGGAGGAGGAGGAGGAGAGGAGGAGGAGGAGGAGGAGGAGGAGGTAGGAAAAGTAGGTTGAGGAGGAGGAATAAAGAAGGGGGAGCACCTCGTCAGAGATCTTGCGGGCATCCCCGAGGAGGTCGCCGACGCGGTCTTCGGGCGCTTCCGGGGTGACGCCGGCGCCGTGCTGGATTGGCTGGGGAGGCAGCCCTGGTTCGACGGGCGCCTGGGCACGCACGGCGTGAGCCTGGTGGGAAGCATGGCCTTTGCCACCATCTGGAGACGGGAAAAGCGGCACCAGCACAAGTTCTCGGGGGTCCGCGCGGGCTCCCTGGCTCGGCGCTGGGGCCCCCCGGCGGTGCCTCTGGCCTCGCCGCCTTGCGCGCTCCGTGTGCTCCGTTCGCCAGGGAGAGAGGGACGAGCACGCTGGACGTTGTTAGTTTCTACTTCTTCGAAAGTTCTTTGATTTTTTGGGGGCCAAGATCCTTTCATTTCTAATTGTTCTATCCTGGGCCTCTTCCTGGCCACTAGGGGGCCAGGAACAATGAGAAACGAGCGAGCACAATTAGAAATGAGCGCGATTAGAAATGAACGACGTGTTACGCACGGAGTGAATTTGGTACTGTGAAGCTCGGGGACCTGTGGGTGGATGGGTGGGTGCGTAGCGCCGACGCAAGAGATCCGCGCGGACATCCGAAAGCTTATGTCTGTACGGCAGGTTCGTGTCGTGTCGACCCTGGCGATGGTTCCCGACAATCGTTCAACCTTGAACGATCGGCCGTTTCGGAAACGCAGGATCGCTCAACGATGGGCCGGTTCTGGGACACGGGCGGCGTTCAACCCCACACGCCCGTGTCAGGGTCGCCGCCGGTCGACACGACGCGAACCTGCCGTACCGATTTGTCCCCTCTTCTGGCCATCGCCGCGGCCTCGGAGCCGGGGGCTCCTGCGGGCCGGGCCGGCGTGCAGGCGGCGGTGTGCACCACCTCCTTCTCGCGGATCTGCCCCACGCTGTTTCTGTGGGGCCACGGGCTGGCCCTGGAGACCTCTGCGCGCTTCCTCTGCTCGGGTGCTGCCAGAAGTGCCCCTGGGCCATGGCGTCCCCTTGCTGTCCGAGGAGGCCCCCACCGCCTCCAGAGCGCCCCTCACGAGGCCCAGAGGGCCCCAGGGGCTCCAAACTTGGGCGATAAGCTGGGGGCACCTTGGGCCAGGGGCACCTTTGGCCCCCCCCGATTTTCATCGCCGAGCAGAAGTTCGGCTCCGGGAGGCGGCAGGCGAGGGACCTCTTGGCGCTCCCGCGGATGGCCGTCTTCTTCGGCATGCGCGAGTGGCCTGGGCTGTGGGAGGCGAGCCTTCGCCGGCCGCTCACCGCCATGGACGAGGCCCTCTGGGGCCGGCGCAACGCCCTCTGGCGGGCCGGGATCCGCGAGCAGAGCCCTGGGGGCGCGTTCTGGCGGGGCGGCGTCGACGTCCAGTGCGACCTGGCCGAGCTCGGCGGCCAGTGCCCGCCGCTCGGCATCGTCGCGGGATGGTTCGACGTCTTCGTCCGCCAGGCCCTGGACGACTTCCAGGCGGCGCAGGCCCAGGTTCAGGAGGGACAAAAACACACAGACACAATTAATCGTCGATTCCCAAGAAAATATGGGAAAATATGGGAAGTGAGGGGGGAGACAAAAACCCAGAAAATATAGAAAATATGGAGGATTTTTTTTGTGTGTGTATTTATTTGTGTGTCCCAGGGCCCCTTCACAGGTGCCTGGCCGCGCGCAGCTCACTGTGTGCGGCGCCGGGCACCTGGGCCTGTCCATGCGGTACGGGCAGCTGGTGCTCCACGAGACGCTCGCGCTGTACGACGAGTGCCTCCGCGGGATGGACCGGGCCGTGGCGAGGAGCCGCCTGGGGCTGCCCGACCGCCGGGCCGTGCGGCTGGAGCTGGTCGGGGCGCCTGCCGGGCAGAACTGGCTGGAGTGCGACGCGTGGCCGCCCGAGCCTGCCGAGACCATGGGGTGGTTCGTCGCGGGCGGCTCGGGGCATGGCCAGCTGGCCCTCGCCGAGCCCCCGGGCGAGGGCTCGCTGGAGTACGTGTACGACCCCGGCAGCCCCACCCCCTACGAGGCCCCCGGGGTCGCCAGCTGCACGCCGCAGCGGTCCTGGCCAGGCCAGCGTTCGTGGCATCGCTCGGGCGTGTATTTGTTTTTTTCTGCGAGGACCGTCGGAGAGCCTTTGGGGCCATCCCGCGGAAAGATACGCGCACGAAGCCGAGTAACTGCACGGGGAATGGACGTCCGAGCGGTGGCGAGGAGGAGGAGGAGGAGGAGAAGGAGGAGGAGGAGGAGGAGAAGCAGGAGGAGGAGGAGGAGGAGGACGAGGAGGAGGAGAAGGAGGAGGAGGAGGACGAGGAGGAGGAGGAGGAGGAGGAGGAGGAGGAGGGGGAGGAGGGGGATTAAGGCGGAAGGGAGCAGCAGAAGGCGAAGGAGATGTTCCCCATGTGGGCCGAGGGAGTCGAGGGGAGCAAGAAGTCTTGACAGGGATGCGTGTTGCAAGATGTTCCCGTGCTCCTGCTGTTCCGCGCGGCTTCCGAGGCGAGGGCCGCTAGGTACCCCGGAGCTTAGTGGCCCAGGAAGCGGCAAGGCCGTTTCCTCACCGTTTCCGAAGAGGTGCGTCTTGACAATGGAAGCGGCAGCAAAAAAGACGACCGGAAAGAGCAACAAAGAATGGCTATGGGATTAGAGCCAGAGCCGGAACCAGCAACAAAAACGTCGACGGAACCAGCAAGAACAACGGCGACGGAACCGACACAAAAGAAACGGCAAAACGGACCTGGTGAAAAGAACGGCCCTGCAGACATGCCGTTTCCAGGGCCGACCAGGTCCCGGAGCTCGTGTCACGTATCCCGAGCCAATCGCGTCATGACATCACTGTCGTCCTGGAATACGGCGGCGGCACTGGATAGGGAACGTCTTCCTGGGGCCCAGGCCCTGGCGCATCCCTTGTTGTCTCAAAGAGAGGTGGGTAGCCCACGTTTGGCCCCCCATTGGTCGCGAGACCCTGGGTTCCTTATCGATCAGGAGGGAGAAAAACCCACTGACACAATTAATCGTCGATTCCCCAGAAAAATGAGGGGTAATATGGGAAGTGGGGGGGACGACAACAACCAAGAAAATATGGGAAAATACTAATATCGGGAATCCGGTTAGTTGTGTGTATTTAATCGCTTCGCCCATTCCGCCGGCCCTGGAGCCCTCTTTAGGGCCTCTTGGGGGCCTCTTGGGGACCTCTTGAGAGTCTCTTGGGGCTCCTGGGCGGCGTCTTGGGGGCCCCCAGGGCCTCTTGGGGGGCTTTGGGGGGCCTCTTGGGGCGGGATGGGGGGTAGTCGATTGCGGCTCCCCCCTCGGAGGCCACGATCCTCGTGAGGGGTGTCGAAAAATGGCCCTCCCCTGGAGTGCTCTGGTGGCTTCTCCCGGAACCTTGCCGGGGTACTTTTCGTCCGGGGGCCCCTAGGGGCCGCTCCTCGCGCGCGAACTAGAAATATTGTTAACCAGTTACCGGAGATCTTAGCACGCCTTTGGCCCGTTGGGCCAGCGAATTTGTGTGTCCCAGGGCCCCTTCAGCATCCTTATCTAAAACCTCCACCGTGTGTTCAGACGAGCGGCTGGCGCCCTCCTTGAAGGGGGGCGGCTGGCTGAACTTGCGGAAGGAGGGCCAGCGCGACCAGTCCAGCCTCGAGTGCAGGGCCGACGTGCTCGTGTGCAGCTCCCCCGAGCTGGAGGATTCGATCGACGTCGTGGGCGAGGTGCGAGCGACCCTCTTCTCGGTATCGGTTAACTGATCCCCATCCCCATCCTTATCCCCTTCGAGGCCCCCACCAAATTACCACTCCACTTGGGGATACACCCCTCGAAACCCTAATGAAACAGCTTATGTCATGTCCCCATCTAAGGGGGTAAATTTGCCAGTGGGGCCCATGCCACGCCGCTGGGGATGGGGTTCGGATAAGCGATACTCATCTTCGTCTCGTCCTCGGCCGCGGAGTGCGATTTCCTGGTGCGCCTGTGCGTGGTGCCAGCGGCGTCGTCGCTGCCGTGGCGGCCGCGCTGGCTCTCGAGCGGTCCGGAGGCTTCACTGTCCATCATGGAGGGGCTGTCCAGGGTCCGGTTTGGCGACTCGCCAGCGGTCGTCGAGGAGGTTCGCAGAGTGGAGGTGGACCTGGGGCCCATCGCGTACCGCTTCCAGCGCGGCGAGCGTATCCGGATACACATCTCGGGTCGGACGGCAAGTGGCGACTGGGGAAGGGGGTGGGCACAAAATTTTCAGCCTTGGCATCGCTCGGACGTGTGCATTTTTTCTCGGCGAGGACCATCGAGGAGCATCCTGGATCATCTAGCAACAGAACTACGCACGAATCCGAAAAATGCATGAGGAATAGACGTCCGAGCGACGAGCGATGGCGAGGAGGGAGTGGGGGGGAGGGGGGAGGGGCTTTTTGGAAGCACCCCTGCTTCTTAGAAGGCGCGGGCCTCCTCCATAGGTGTTAGGCTGGCGCCTGCTAAGAAGCTGGCCCATCCCCTCTGGCGCGCCGCCAAAGTCAGCACTGCGCGGTGCCAGTTGCTGCACCGCTGCCGGAAGCCTTCCTCGATGGCTGGCGCCTTCCGGCGCGGGGAGGCGCAGGGGAAAGCAGCTCCGTGAGCGGCTTCGCCAGCCCGCTCTTCGATAACCCATCCCTCTCGTCTGGCTTGGACGCCCGAGATGGGTACGGAGAAGATGGGTACACTGCCCAACAACAGATGTTGTCCCAGACCAGCAGCGGCCGCTGTGGGGCAGGCGGCCTTCTGTCTCGAGTGGACACGAGCCGCGGCGGCGTGCACAGCGAGTCCTGTTCGAAATGAACAGGAACTGCTGTTCTTGGCATCGCTCGGACGTGTGTATTTTTCGTTCGGCGAGGGCCATCGAGGAGCGTCCTTGATCATTTGGCACGAAGTCGAAAAAAGTACAGGGAATGGACGTCCGAGCGATGGCCAGCGTTGGGCCTGGTAGCCACTCCTTCCGTACCCCTCTCCTTCGTGCCGACCTGGGGCCTCCCCCCTCGGGGGGGGCCCTCCTCCTCCTCCTCCTCCTCCTCCTCCTCCTCCTCCTCCTCTTCCTCCTCTCTCTCTCTCTCTCTCTCTCCTCCTCCTCCTTCTCTCTCTCTCTCTCTCTCTCCTCCTCCTCCTCCTCCTCCTCCTCCTCCTCCTCCTCCTCCTCCTCCTCCTCCTCCTCCTCCTCCTCCTCCTCCTCCTCCTCCTCCTCCTCCTCCTCCTCCTCCTCCTCCTCCTCCTCCTCCTCCTCCTCCTCCTCCTCCTCCTCCTCCTCTCTCTCCCATCCCAGGGGGGGCGAGCCCCCGCGGAGTCCACGCATGCAACGTCCTGCTCGTCGACGATCTCCCTGTGCGGGCCCACCGCCAGGCGCGCACTATGGACGTGGCCGAGATGGCGACGTCCTCGCAGCTGCACCTCCACGCCCGCGATCTCGCCAGAGAGCCGCGCGGCGGCGGCCGACGGCCACAGCTGGCCGCAGCCGCAAGCTGGCTAGCCTCAGCCTGCTCCCTCGGAGTGCGGGAGAGGCCCGCACAAGAGGAGAGAGCCCTCGACCAGAGCCCATTCAGTATCCTCATCCTCCTGCGAGTTCGCCTCAGGGTACCTCTCAGGCGGGACGAGGAGGTCGAAGAGCTCGCTATCTTGTGGCCACGGCTGAGAGCCACCACAGCGAAGCGCAGGCTGCGCGACCAGCAAGGCCTCGCCGAACAGCTCCAGGAGTGGTCGCGGCAAGTCCAAGCTGCGGCTGGCCACACATGCAGCAGGCTGCGATACCAGGCCTCGCTGATGCATGGTCTCGGAGAACTGCTGGCAGTTGACGGCCAGAACCTGACCAAACTCACTCTGCGAACCTCCGAGGTCGGCCATGTCGAATGTGGTCATCGTGGCTTCGGGCCTGTCCGCCAATGCTCGCACCGCATCAAGTCTCCAGAGGGCTGCTGCCCGATCGGCCACAGGGGCCGTGTGCAGGAGCAACGCAGCAGCGCCCACAGCAGCAGCAGACGCCAGAAACAGGATTCCCGCCCTGATCCCAGCGTTCTCTCTGCGCAGCGTCGTAGCCCAGTACTTGCTCAGCCTGTCCGCTCCCCAAGGGCGGTCATGAGGTCGAACTGGTAAGCTCCTGGCACTGCTCGAGCCCTGCACTGCCGTCCACGATGCAGTCGGTGGTGTAACAAGAACTCCAAACACTACACCCGATTGAATCCTTGAGATCATTTTGTCCAAGAAACTTGAATCCTCCAAAGTCTGAGAATGTGATGGGTCGTTGCAATCAATATATAGTACAGTCATGTTGAAAACACCAGTGTCTCTACCCATGATATCGCCGAAGTCATCCTCCAGTCTGGGGCCCCATCCCAAGTGTAACACATATGTATACATCTGCTGTCCCACGGGGCCGATAGACAGCGGCTGCAGCTCAGAAGCCCACTGCACGCATGGCGGTGGGGGTCTCTCATCAGGTACAGCTGCCTGACGTAAGCCAGGGATCGCAGGGCGAAGCGGCGCATTTGACCTGAGTCCTTGTTTCCGCTTGTCCGCTGCAATCTCCTGCTCATGCCTCTGCCACTCCGCAACAGCCTCTGCTTCCAGTGGTGCAGCGGACGCCAGGAGGTACGTGATACAAGCACCATTAGGCCCCCGCAAATGCCGCACCAGTCCTGCTCGCTCGGACAAACTGGCCCCACACCAGAGACAGTCGGTTCCATCTGCAAATAGTTGTGCCGCGTCAACTGGTCGGTGCCTCCTGGTCCAATGGCTTCTATACCCAGCAATGGTTGTGAAGCTCCGGTCGCACTCGTAGCAGAAGAAGGCCGTTTGTTGTCCATCGGTGCCCGTAGCACCCAGTAGTCCAGGAAACACATGGGTGATCCTTCTCTGCATGAAATCGTTCCTGTACTGATCCAAGCATTGGGTTTGATAGTTGCTCCAAGCGCTACGAAGATGCATGTGAAATATCTTCAGATCGGCGGCAACAAACTTTATCCACTCCGCGAGTCCCTCGATGGTATCAGGCGATGCGTCGGGGACTTCGGCACAATAGCAACGCATCCAGGCAAAATCATCCGCGACCAGCGAGGCCCAAGACATAGGTGCACCAACTGTAGCATCCAAAACCAGTCGTAACGTCGGTGATCCTGCATGCATAAGCCTGGCTACATATCGGAGCGTACGAAATCGCAACACCTGTTTGAACTCCATTCGGCTTGCAGTGGCCAACACTTCGGCATCTGTTGTATGATTCTGCGTCATGGCACTGTGCAGCTTCTTTGTTGCCACTCTATAGCCCGAAACCAATGAATGATTCAACTTCGTGGTGCTCGTGTTGGACATAATCCGATAGCCCTTATAACGGCGACGATGGAACACAGTGCCGGGGAACTGCTTTGAACATCACCAGTCGTTCAAAGCAGTGCCCCGGCACTGCATTGAACGATGCGGAAATGCGATCAGCAGGAGCCTTCGTCTGTTCCTTCTCCTCTTCTCGTCGCTGTATGCTCTTCCTTGTCCTCCCTCCTCCCCCGTTCCCTCTCTAATTAATTACCTCGTTCTCCCAGTCTCACGCGCACTCTTCCTCCCCCCTCTCCTCCTCCTCTTCCTGCTTCTCCTCCTCGTCCTCCTCCTCCTCCGCCTCCTCCCCCTCATTTGTTATATTTCTCCGTCCTTGTCCTCCTGTCCCCGTTCTCCTTCTCCCTCTCCTCCTCCTCCTCCTCCTCGTCGTCGTCGTCCTCCTCCTCTTCCTCCTCCTCCTCCTCCTCCTCCTCCTCTTCCTCCTCCTCCTCCTCCTCCTCCTCCTCCTCCTCCCCTTCTTCCTCCTCCTCCTCCTCCCCCTTTTCCTCTCCCTCCTCCTCCTCCTCCTCCTCCTCCCCCTTCCCCCTCTTCCTCCTCTGCTATCACTCCTCCATAATTCCTGTCCGCTCCTCCCCTTCACTGATCTTCCTCTTCGTCATCATCATCCCTTTCGTCGCACGCCTCTTAATCCTCAATCGGTTCCCAATCTTCTCGACTTTCTTGTCATCCGCGTCCTTGGCTGTTGGAGGGGCCTCAGGAATTCTCAGGGCTCTTGTGTTGCACGCGAAGGCACACCTCCCAGGAACGCATCATCCTCCTCACATTCACCCTCCTCCTCCTCATCCTCCTCCTCCATGCACGTTCGGCTCAAGCCCGCGCCGACGGTAGGTTTCACGGCGGTTGGGCGGGCTCGCGCCCGCCTCCGCGGCCTGCAGTCGGGGCAGAGATGCGTGCAGGGTGGGATGACAAAGCGGAAGAGGAAACACGGGCCGCAGTTGCGGATTCTTCAAAGAGCAGCGGCGGCGGTTGGGGAACAAGTGGGGGTTGGGGCGGCCGCAGTGGCGGATACGGCGGCGGAGGTGACCGCAGTGGCGGCTGGGGCGGCGGAGATTCTCTTGGCGGATGGAGAGGAAAAGCGCAGGATGGCGGCGACGGAAGTGACCGCAGTCGCGGATGGGAGGGCGGCGGATGGGGCGGCAACGGATGCGAGGGTTGGGGAATGGAGGGCGCCCGCTGGTGGGACGACGAGGGTGGCTGGTGGAATGCATGGGAAGGTGGCCGCTCGAGTGCCTCGGCAGGTTCTCCTGCCGCGGAGCCCGCGGCCGCAACAGCGGCGGGCAAAGGAGGCGGTCCCCTGCTTCCCCCAGGGCGCGAAGAACAAGGCGCAGTTGCGCTGTTTCAAATTGTGCGCAATGAGCCGCTGCCAATTTTCAAGTTGGAATTCTTCGAGAACTTCAGGGCGAACTGGAACGGCAATTATAAGCAGCACAACGCGGCCTTGAAGTGGTTCCGAGACGAGTACGAAGACCGAGAAAACCCTTTCGGCAGCCGCACGCCCGTCTTCGGAGGTACCGCAGTTGCGGAGGAAATTTCGAAGATCCTTAAGTACCGCGCAAAGGGGAAGGCGCAGGACAACAGGGATTGGGACTGGGACCACACTGTCAAAGTGCCGTGGTCTTGGCTGGAGATGGTCGCGCAGATGGATGGACCTACAATGCTGCGCGTCGTGTGCGGCCCTGACAATGACCGCAGTCGCGGGTTGGTCCGCTGCGAGTGCCGCCCGTGCCCTAGCAGTCTCGACAACATGAGGCACACGAAAGGGGTGGACAGAGGACAGGCGCAAAGAATCCCTCTGCCCCAGTGGGATTTCGTCCTCATCCGCGACGACGGCTCGGGCATTCGC